TCGACCTCTAGCTGCAGGGCGTCCAGCGCCGACTGGTTCGCCTTAGTCGCCAAGCCAGTGGTCAGGCTGGTGTTCAAGGCGGTCAAACTGGATTGGTTTGCGGCAATCAGGCCCTCAGCCGCGGCGAGGTCTGAAGCAAGGGCGTATGGCGCGAGGTCGGGGGGAGCGGGCAGCGCATCGATTTGACTCTGCAGATTTGCGATCGAAGCGGAGTTGTTAGCCGAAATAGTAGCGTTCGCAGCGATGGCGGCGGTGTTGCCGGCGGTGTCAGTAAGCGGCGTGTACGCCGTGAGAACGGTCGCCAGCTGCCCAGCGGTGATGCCGCTGATCTCGGTGGTTTGGCCATCGTTAAGGACGTTCCCCGTAATACTACTCTCGAAAGACTCATTTTCCTCTAGGCCGCCAGCGTGCAAGCACACTAGTCCAGCACGCTCACGCCGGAGCCGGACAGCGTCACGACTTGATACGACACCAGATGCACGTAGCACTGCTGCACCTTGTCGACCTACAGCCCTTAGTTAGAGCCCTCGTACATGTTCTTCGTCAATCGCATGTTCCGAATCGTGGAGTCGTAGGTCTGTGCCAGAATGTGCAGGAAGTGGTGGTGCTCCGCAAAGTCTTGGGCGGGGTAATGAGGCACCTGCATCGGCCCCAGCTGCATCTGAGACTCCAAGAACGAGGTGCCGTTCGCCTGCACCGCCGGGTGATTCAGGGCTACCACGCCGGAATAATCGGTGTCGGTTCGAAATGTGACGAACGCTCCCAGAAGCTTGGTGTATAGGCGCGAGAAACGGTGACGTTGAACTCCGTAAAGCCGGCAGGCACCGAAGTGGTCTGCGTGTGGACGGTGGGATACGAGAACACCAGGCTGCAGCCGGACAGCAGCACCCTGTTGAAGCTTTCCACCAGGGCGCTGTCCAGCGTCACCTGCGATGCGAGCACGCGAACATTTTGAAGCTCGAAATCCACCGAGCTCGTCTGCCCGCCTCGGACCGCTTCCGCGGGATCGGCGAATTCGATCTCCAACACCAGGTTCAGCTGCGGCGGAAGCATCTTGCCGCACCCCAGCAGTCCCACCAGCGTCGGCGCCACGAGCACTTCCTGGAAGTGGCTGGGAGGCAGCGCCGCAGGAAAGTTAGAGACGTCGTTGATCTCGAAACCCTCGTTGGCGGTTGATCCAGTATATTCGCGCGGCTTGAGCAGCGTGTACATGTGCACGTTGCGACCGTAGTGATCGATGTCGTCGGTGCGCTGGCCGTTCGCGAAAAGCTGAATCCGCTTCACCAGGCAGCCGGGGTGTCCGGTCAGGGGGTGGAAATCGTTCGTGGCGTCGTTGTTGACGAGTCTAAACGCGATCTTGATGGATTCAGGATCCAGGAAGTCGCCCCCGGTAGTGAGCGGGATCCTCGCCACCCTGCTCGTGGTGGAAGTGAAGGTGCTCAACGAGCTCGGGAAAAACTGCACGTCCTTGCGAGAGGTGACGTAGGAGGCGTTGGAGGTGCGCATCTTGTAGTCGAGGGTGCTGATGAGCTCATCGTTCACCGCGTTTGTGACCTGGTCCATCGCTTTTCTTAGTATCACGCATGCAATTTCGTCGTTTGCCCTAGCAAAGTTCACGCAGCCTCCGGCTCGTGAGCCAGTGCTTCCCGCCGCAACTCGCCGAACGTGGGCTCCGCAGGCGGCGGCCTGAGCCTTGCCCTTCGCCTTCTAACAAGCCCGAATCCCTCGCTCCCACTGCTACTTACAGTCCTTTGCGGCTGTCCCACCGGGTTGATTCCCCACGGCATGTTGGAGGGCGTGGACCGCACTTGCGGCGCCGGCTGCTGCTGAGCTGGTTCGTCGGAGTCTCCGGCGGCGATGTCGTAATGCACCACAGGCCGACTTCTTGCGGGCTGTCGCAGGTTCTTGCTAAGGGTTTATCGGCTTTAGGGACTTTGTTAAGGATTTGGTAAATC